GTAAATTTAACGATTTACATAGTCGGAGATGCCTAAAGTGGAGATTTTATACAATAGATGAGGAAATTAAATTAGCAGTGTGAAAATTGTATATAGAGAGTAGAAAGCGAGCAAGGACAACTTTGAGGAAGGTACGAATAAGGTTTACGTCAGATGAAACATGAGTGTGAAACAATCGACAGAACTGTTTCCGCACATCGGAGGTACATGAGCAAATCGGCGATCATCCTTTTTGCCGGTGGCAGGGGGAAACACCCTTCACCATCCCTCATTAACGGATGAGCTTGGTAAAGGAGATGCTCTACCCGATTCGTACCTTCCTCGAAATGGTCTTTTGTTCGCTTTCTACTTTCTATGTACAAATTTCACACTATAACGGTACTATCAACTCTTTACTTTTATCTTCTCATCTATCATATAAAATGACCACTTAACTCCTAATATTTGATGTTAAGCATTTCCAACTACGAAAATAACCTATTTCCAATAATTTTGTTGATTGTTCTGATAAGATTTCCAAGAATGCTATATTATTTCTGTAAAAACCTATTTGCCTCAAAGTTTAAGAGAAGGAGAATTATTCTAAGTTCTTCAGATCATTCTGAAGAAATTCTGTGAAAAGTTCTTAGCGGATTATCAAAGTTATCTACCTAGATATATTAAAATTTTAAAGATTTCGAACGCAGAATCGAATTCTAGATCATAAAAAATGGGAATTACTATTTGTAACGTAAGCAAAAGTAAAATATACAAATCTCTTCAGATGCTCTTCACAGGAGATTCCATTGTGAGATTGGATTAAATTAGAGGAATTTATGAAATTTGATTATAAGTTCCATGACATAAAAAGTTTATTTCAACATCAAACCGTATTTTAATTTCTAAGTAACCATATAAATAGTTTCTTATTTAGTATTTACAAGTCACTATTTCCGTAATTTTAATCACTAAAGTCACTACTATTATATCGCATCAGCACCATCAGCCCTGGATATGACTCATAGCCATATCAAGCGACATATTAAATCATATCATGTAAGAGTTGCAGTGAGTAAGAGCGTACTTATAACAGTATCCTCCCCACTAAGCCGACAAATTTGTAAATTGAACTGTCAAGTCCATAAAAAATCAATGTTACCAATGTAAATAAAGTTCCATAAGAGGCCATGATGTCGGATTAAGGAGAGCCGGAGTGGGGAGATACCAAAGAGGTAACTCTAAGACTAGAAGGTCCCGAAGAAACGTGCTCAACTTTTTGACTCAGCTCTGGTAATTTCTTAGGTCCCTATCTAATCGATGCGCCCCTCGAACCATAGGAAAATCCACGAATCCCTCATTTTATCTTTCATACTATTCCTAATGGCAAGTTTCGATATGGAATCATATCAAGTTACATATCAAATCACATCTACTCGACGAAATATGACCAATGGCACTCAAATGACAACCATAGAGCCATATGGTCACGGTAGAACAGGTTCCAGAAATGCAGGAGTATCGTTCTAAATGGGTAAATTTGTTTTATTTTTTTTAACCATATCAAGCGACATGTCAAATCACATCTACTCGACGAAATATGACCAATAGCTCTAACAATTAACAACAGAGCCTTATGGCCACCGTAGAACTGGTTCCGGATACCCCGAATGATGGCTCCACATGGTCAAATTCGTTATCTATCATTGCCATATCAAATCACATCTACTCAACGAAATATGGCCAGTGGCACTCCAAACAACAATGATAGAGCTTTATGGCCACCTAAAAACCGATTTAAGATGTACCGAAAATATATGGCATAATATGGCTGAACTGAATCCGATAGATCCGAGTTTGATATCAACAGAATTTCAGAAACATAAGTGAAGGTGAATCGTGGAGGGCCAGAAACGAAAGCAAGTACCTACTGCATTAGAGCCAGGCAAGATATCGCAGCGGAGGCAGCAGTCATGGCCATGCTTGGCATGCACAGTTGTACACACCAACTGCTCATTCGTTAATAACTTTTCACTCTGTTGTTGAAATTTGTTTTTATTTAATGAAATTGATAGATTAGGATCATAGTTTACTATAGATATGCAAAAAGTAGGTAAATCTTAACATTTGAAACAACACCAATGAATTTTTACACTTTAAGTACGAGATGTGCAGCGAGCATTTCTCACTTCATTTTTACAACGTAAAAACAAATACAGTTTATCACTAGAATTTAAATCTCCTTTTTTTACGTATACATAACAAGCTTAAACTCTATTCTATCTACTGCTTCAAAAAAAACTATGTTTCGTCAACTGTGTGCAAAGTTATTAGCAAATTAGCAGTTCGTGACCAAAACTGTGTATGCCAAGCATGGTCATGGCAGTGGAGCTGACAGAAGAGCCTCAACAAGATCGTCAACCTTGTGATAGGAATTACACCAGGGTCCAGGTCAAAGTAAAAATAAGCAGCCACCCAGGATTGAAATCTTTCATGTTGGTAGGGGAAAGGGAAGTTGACGAATTAACGAGGAAGGGAAGTTGGCAGATTAAGAGGGCAAGGAGGTTGACCAATATCCACATTCCATACAAAATGTAATATATTTGTATGGATGATTGTTTTTGTCCCCCTGCGGGTTGGACTTAAAAGCTCTCAAAAACTGGTCTTGTGGAATGTAGTAAGTGCCTAAAATCACATCAGGTAGATGAATGTTTCCGCTAATCGAGTATATGGAACTGGCTGATGGACTGACAGTTGCTTTGGATCAGTCCATAAACTACACAGATCGTTTTATAGATAATTTAGAACTACCCTTCCCCCGTGAAGGCATTCATGCATACATAATTGAAATGCTTGGCAACTCCTGAATAATCAAACAATAATAGACAACCGATTTGTCTGTATCCAAACGTTTTTTTTTGTCACGGTGTCCATTTTGATTATTGATTTTTTTTTTATTTGGATGTCATTGAATTAGATCACTCGGCTAAGTCACATCTATAATTCAAGACCATGCTGAAGGTGACTGGGTTCGATTTCCAGCCCTGTTTGTGAGTTTTTCGGGGTGGAAAAATTGTGGAAGTGCTCAAAGAACACCAAGTTGAAAACGGCCGTAAAATCCCAGAGGAGACGTAACACTGCCAAAAACAAGTGGTGATAAATATTTCGTCGAGTAGATATGATTTGATGATAATGATTAATCATGAATTTTCCTGAATGTAAAACCATTACCTGGATCATCAGAAACCTATTGTAAAGTGTCAATTAGCTCTATTGATGTTTCCACTGTCACCATAAAATATCCGAACTAGTTTCCGTGGTAGGCATGGGTCTTATGATTGTTCTCTATCATTTGTGGAAGTGCCACGAAAAAAAAACGTTTTCTCAATGATAAGTAAGATATGTGACAAAAAATCAAAAAAAAAACACCCCGGTGCCAACACATTCTGTAATATGTATATAACAAAGAGTGAGGGGCCTAGGGGGGATGTAAGAATCACTCACCAGAATGATGTTTAAAAAACTATAAGGAACAGCCCTATGGGGTTGTACGCAATGGCGACGTAGGACTACGTGGTCATATATAATAAATTTTATTTTTTAACTGCAGCAGGAGCTTGTGTTTTGTGTTAGGAATATGAATTTGACGCGCCGAAAGCACTGCTGCTGCTGCTGATGATGATTCCGACGACCAGACACCACCACTCACGGTGATTGGAACTGAATCCGATCAACGGTTGAGGGCAGCCTTGATCGCTAGCAGCTTGTGGGGAGCCTTTCGTAGTGTACTGGAGAACACCACCACTCACCACGCGGTGATTGAATAAACACCGTTTGGTGAGACCGGATGGAATTCAACTTTGAAATCTGTGTTAGGGAAATCGCTTTTCGCAGGCAATCGGTGATAATTTTAGTTATCATAGCTACAGTTGCACATTCGTGCATTTTTCAATAGTGACATTTTAAAAATGATAAAGTCTTAAATTTAACAGATGCGTAGGAATATTTCTGATGGATTGGTGATAAAATTATTGAAATTGGTCCAGGGGCAACTGAGTTATTAACGTTCAAAATCTTTCATAATTTTGTTACATGTTCCATTTTTGGTTTTCACAAAGTGTACCCTCATATAGAAATCAAAGACGTAGTCCTTCGTCAAAATTTCAACTTAATCGGTCATGGTAAATTTTTGATAGCAAAATGTTTGTCGCTGGGGGCGACCCCGGTGTAGTGTTTAACATCCATACCTCTCACGCCAAAGTCATGACTTCAAATATCACCCCCGGACAAGTCACGAATGACCCAAGAATGTTAAAGTGACTATAATAATAAACAAAAGTTTATCCCGGGCTTTTACGGGTTAACAAAAGAAGAGAAGGAAGATATGATAGTAATTCCTTAACTCATCAAGCATCAAACTGATTAGAAGAGTTAATGCCGATGGTACACCACTAAAGTAAAAATGCAAGCGAGAAACAAAGAACAATAAATAAGAATCAATAATCAAGAGACAAAAAACAAGAAACAAGACTTAATATGAAGATAGAATCAAGAACCAAACCTTCGGATACATAAGTTTACCGTATTCCACAAAATTTATATTCAGCATATATTCAATAAGTTTATCGAGAAAATTCTTCAAACCGTCTATTTAAGGACAAGTTTGATAGAATCTACAAATGCCATTGTCATGGTTGATTTGGCTTGTAAAACTAGTAAAATCTGCCATTATAGTGGCCCTTTGTGGGTTCAATAAACCTTGTTCTCAAAAGAGACAAGAGACAACATATTTTTCTGTCTTCTTTGAACTTGCCCCAGCAGGCCTCCATACTTCTGAAAATTATGATGCCCGTTACCCGTTAGACCGTAAATACATAGAAATAGGGTTACCAAACCTTGCATCGGAACATGCAAAACACATTAAAATTCACCCCAAGCATCCCTTCCTAAATCCGTCCTTTCTTATCTCACGAACCCGCACAACTTCTTACGATTTTTTTTTGTCTCCCCTTATTTATCTCTAGGTTCCTCGAGGCACTGCAGGCAGGCTGTATACCGGTGCTACTGTCCAACTCGTGGGTGTTACCGTTCCAGTCGAAAATCGACTGGCAGCAGGCAGCGATCTGGGCCGATGAAAGACTGTTATTGCAGGTAAGGATGGGTTGCTTCTTGAGAAATGACCCCGTGTTTTGATTGTCAGAGCTCCCACAAGCTTCCGACGGGCGGTGAAGTCGAAAAAATAAGTCCCATGAGAAAGATTTATTTATCCGGCCGGGGGGTGGGGTTGACCGAAAAAGAAGGCGAAAGGACCGGAGCACACTTTATGCCGTATGTTTTCTAGGGTGGTTCAAATTATCGAATTTGCTCCACATGGTTTGATCGATTTCAAGTTAGGGTTCAGCAAAATTGAGAAAATTTTGCTATAAGGAAATGATCAGATAACCTAATCAGGTAAATGCACGGTATTGTCAAGCTGGAGGTGGTGGGTTCGAGGAAATCTTGCGGGTTGGAAATGTGCCCAACTTCTCTGAACATAGAGTATCATTGTAGTTACAACTCGATATACAAATGTATGCATAGAAAGCTCTGAATTTGTAACTGTGAAAGTGCATCTAGAATACACTGGAGTCGCTTTTTACGCGGTTTTTTTTATGCGGATTTCGGAATTTACGCGCTTTTTTTTACGCGGATTCCGGAATTTACGCGGTTTTTTTTACGCGGTTTTTTTTTACGCGGGACGTATCACCCGCGTAAAAAGCGACTCCAGTGTACTATGTTGAGATCCAGCAAAACGCTCCGAAAAGAAGCGTAAAAACCTAGAAAAAGAACAAAAATAATAATAAGAAGAATATGAAGAAGAAGAATAAGAAGAAGACGACGAAGAAGAAGTAGAAGAAGAAGAAAAAGAAGAAAATATTATGTCGAAACGCTAATTGAGCAGTTCTACGCCAAAGCGATCTAATGCGACCTTCTTCGATTTGCATGAAACTATGCATAATTCTTTTTAATTCTACTACTATTGTATCACTATTCACTATTCGCATTCACTATTTACTTTACTATCAGTTTTAAAAATAACTTTAAAAGATACGTATTTCGTTTACTACTTGCAAACATCTTCAGTGTCTAGTCATAGACTGAAGAAGTATGCAACGAAATACGTTTGTGTTGTAGTTTTTTAAAGTGATAGTGAAAGAAAAGTGATACAGTAGTAGTCGAATTAAAAGAAACAGCGTAATAAGGTATACAATTATTCTACTAAAACGCTCATCAATCAATTTAGATTATCCATAATTGTTAGTTATGGTCAATCATTTACATTATTTTTCTGAAATTGGGCATTTTGAATCTTGCAAAAATTTTCAAAATGGTGTATTCTAGATTTTCAACTAAAAGTAACTCGAAAACGTAACTTTTAATTGAAATTAAGTCTGATACAAAGTTGTCCGCAAAATATACACGGTGAAATAATTCAATTTATTTTGGATAGAAAATCTAAAAACTTTTTTCATAGTTGGTTGGAAATGCTATCTAACATGAAGCTTTAGTGTGATGGTGTGATAATGAGCTAGAGAAAGGTCTGAAGAGGGTAGGTTGATAGTTCCACTAGAGTACGGTAGTATGAAAATTGGATAGAAGTTGGAAATGAACGAAGGGGCATTAATGCGACAGTACTAGTCAAACGCACACTTCCTTACCTAACTCATGCATTGATGCATGAGTAGAATTGAAGTATTCCTTCAAATCTTCAAAAACGTGTTTAAAACTTAAATAACAAAACAAAAATAACCCTCTTCAAACGCTTTAAATATTTTTCTTTTAACAGCTTACTCAAAAAGCTAACTTCTGTGAAAATTTCAAGTTGGACACTTAAAAAATTAAAAAATCCATTAAAAACAAATTTCGGGCCAATTTTTGAACTTTCTCTATAAAGAATATTTAAAGAAATTTTGCACTGAAAACCACAAAACTTTGAAAAATTTCACTATCAAAAATGTTAAAGAAATAAAGCCGTTGGTCCCCGGTCTATGAGTTGATGGGTCGATAGGTAGGGTCCAGGTGTGGGAGTTGCCTTCCTGGCGTCGGTAGCATTGGGACTCAGTACAAAAAAACAAGATCGACGGAAAACAAATCAATGAAAAAAAAAGCAAAAATGTGAATGATTTACCATAGCATAGTATGCAAGAATCTGACTTGGAATCGATTGCTCTGTTTGAAACATTTTCAATCATTTGAACCATCCTAATATCCAATCGATTGTTTAGGGTTTGATTTAGGAGTGAGTGTGGAGAAAGGTTACGGGTCGGGGCGGACACTTTTAGTGGTTCCGTATATGCCATAAACAAGCACTACCATACATTCATGCCAAGGTGTTCCATGCTTGGTATCATGGCTTTTTAACGATGTTTACGGTTTTTATTGTATGTAGAGGGGTTACAATTCAAAGGGGTTTAAATCTCATGGGCATAAAGTTGAGATTCACTGGTAAAGATTCTAATGATTTGATGTAGAAATATCACCTTGTATATCTCTGAGAATTAGATCGCAGGTTTTCTAAGCTAGACTTCTACAGTTTCCATTTTGCTCCACACAGCGTGATCTGCGCACACCCTGAGTATCACAAGGAAAGATACTGGATCATTAGGCCGAATGGTTACGAGGCTGAATATCGAAAAATTGTTTATTAATACTTCTGAAGAACAGTTGCTGGTCTAAAAAAGAGAAGCAGTAGGGGAAAGTGGGGCAATGTGGCCACCCGCTTAAAAATCAACTTCTGTATATATAAAGGGTGATACGGTCAAAATTTGGTCAAGGGAAAACGCGTGTAAATCGGTGAAATCGTTTATTTAAAAAATCAAATTAAATTTCTTTTTCAAGTTCAATTAGTATAAAATTCAGGAAAAATATTCAGTTAGGCTTCCGCTTTTCCAAATCCGAATTGCCGGGCCTAACGCTTGACCCCTGCCATCAGATTTTGTACAGCCACCTTGTCCACCTTCTTCGCCGCAGAAAGCCAGTTTGCCTTGAACTGCTGCTAGCCCTTAGCAGTTTTTTTGGTCTTCTTTAGGTTCCGCTTGACAATAGCCCAGTATTTCTCAATTGGGCGGAGCTCTGGCGTATTGGGAGGGTTCTTGTCCTTGGGAACCACCTGCACGTTGTTGGCGGCGTACCACTCCATGGCCTTTTTACCGTAATGGCAAGATGCCAAATCCGGCCAAAACAGTACGGAACAACCGTGTTTCTTCAGGAAAGGCAGCAGACGTTTATTCAAACACTCTTTCACGTAAATTTCTTGGTTGACAGTCCCGGAAGCTATGAAAATGCTGCTTTTCAAGCCACAGGTACAGATGGCTTGCCAAACCAGATATTTCTTTGCGAACTTTGACAGTTTCATGTGCTTGAAAACATCTGCTACCTTTCCCCTTCCTTTTGCCGTATAAAACTCCTGTCCCGGAAGCTGCTTGTAGTCGGCTTTGACGTAGGTTTCGTCGTCCATTACCACGCAGTCAAACTTCGTCAGCATCGTCGTGTACAGCCTCCGGGATCGCGCTTTGGCCGTCGTATTTTGTTTATCATCGCGATTTGGAGTCACTACCTTCTTGTAAGTCGATAGTCCGGCTCGTTTTTTGGCTCGATGCACGGTTGTAGACGATACACCCAGCTTATTTTCGGCATCTCGGAGAGAGAGGTTAGGGTTTCGCTTGAAACTACCGGCAACTCTCTTTGTCGTCTCAGCGGCTTCCGGTTTTCGATTTCCCCCCGATCCAGACTTCCTAGCTGTCGACAAACGTTCCCCAAACACTTTAATTACATTTGTAACGGTTGATTTGGCAACTTTTAGCGATTTTGCCAACTTTGCGTGCGAGTAGCTCGGATTTTCGCGAAGCGCGAGCAAAATTTTGATACGCTGCTCTTCTTGCTTGGACGGCATTTTGACAACTGAAGAGTGAATTCCAAAATCAAAATAGGAGCAACATTCTACACACACACACCTTCAAAATGAGGGGTGTTCAGGTTTTTTAAATGCAAAATTGAAAGAAATACGTCAAGTTGATATTGACCAAATTTTGACCGTATCACCCTTTATATTACAATTAATCTGTTGCAGGCTTAATGTCAAGCCTACTTCAACTATCGATTTCAATTAAGTCTAACATAATACTATTCTAGAGCAAATATTCAAATAATGTTAGACTAGCTCAAAACGTCAAAACTGTTTTAAGATTTCTGAATCAGAAAATAAGGTCTATCAGTAGTGTTTTTATAACTTATCGTTGATACTTCTTCAGCAGCTTTATAAATGGTCATTGGTTTCTTATACGACACGATGTTTTCCTAGAGTTTCATAAACGATGAAAAAGATTTTCTAAACAAATTATTATTTAAGTCCTTTCGGGGCACTATGTGCACCACTGATACCTCAACTTAAATTCTTCAGTTTTGCATTATTCCTTCGATAAATATGACTGCATCATATGAAATCACGTTTTGAAACAGCTGCTTTGGTAAAAAAAATCATTCATTTAAGACTGAACACATATAGCCTTAAATAGGCAGTATTTCTGAAATTTAATTTATTCTACAGAAATTAATTGATTCTGTTAAATATTGTTTTGCTACAATTATTCATTGGTGACCCTTCATAAAGCTTCAAGAGAACAAAATATTCTTGCCGGTTGTTTACAAGGTCGCTCATACCACCCATTTTACCCCAAGGGTTTAATTTAAGATTCAAAAGTTTACTTTTATAAATTCAATTTGTCTTCATGATGAAAATAGGGATTGAAACTATCCATTTGGTTAAACATCATTCGAATTTTCCACTGAATTTTGTATGATTAGTGATGATTTTCTTATGGTTACCAAACTGCTCCACTTTTCCCTAAAGTAAGTTGGCTTAGGAAACCTCTGCGTGATATCAGGAAACGTTTGTGAAAATTATTAAAACATCTGGAAGTCATCACATGAGTGCAGAAACTTCCACGAAATGGGTCAGTTTCTGCATTCCTGCATCAACTTCCAGATTTTCGACTGATTTTGACGGAAGAACTTTCACTCACGACAGATCAAAAGAATCACCAGCTGGCCAAACCACCAGGCAGCGCAAACCGCGTAACCAGTATTAGTTAAAACAACATCACTGCTAATCC